TACTAAAACAACAGAGAGCACTACTCAATGAAATTCTTCAGGCCCTAGACAAACTATAATCTTATGATGAAACTGCTTTGCAACTACGATACTGAAGTGTCCAGAATAAGGAAGAATCAGGAAAAAGTCAGACCTCAATCACCATGAAGAGGCCAAGGAGCTCTTGATGTACCAATGCATGATGTATGTCATCACCTAGTTCTTATTTATTAAAAAAATATGTTAACAAAGTTCAATTTTATTGAACATTATATCTTTATATTCACAATATCAAAAATTAAGTATATAAAATAAAAATAAAAAAAATGCTTTACTTTTGCGACCGCAGTTACCTTTATTTAGACATACAACATATCCCATCTAATTTAAAAACCATGACCACCCTTCACAACCCCTAAAATGATCACTTAAGTGGTTGTGACCACTCACGACAACTGAATATATCCAGATTTAAACTATCTGACCACAGTTATTTATATTTAGACATATAATATGTCCTATCTAATTTAAAAACAATTAAGATATCCCATGACCACCCTTTACAACCACTAAAATGATCACCTGTGTGATCATGATCACTCTAAGCTTAAAAATTAAAATTCATGTATCATGTCTATATTTAACCCATAAATAGTTAAGCAACTTTCAGATAATTCTGGCCCACTGTGCATCGTTTCTAATTGCAGTAGCTGAATTTTTGTACCACGTGTGAGTTTATTAATAATTTGATTGGTTAATTATTAATAAGAGATTGAATTTCAAAACTATATCATAGAAAAATGTTCTTTTAAGAAATTTTTGATAAGCTAGAACATCAAGGTTTATGTCACCAATAATATATAGGCTTTTATTTTTTTTATTGAATCTTTATAAAAGTTTTTTTAATAAAATTTTCAAATGGTTTAATTTTACTATTGGGCGGACGATAAACACATTCATACTAATATATTTTTAAACTTGTTGTTAATAATTTCAATGAAAAGCCTTTCATTGTTAGTATTTGAGAAAGATTAATAAATATATTTATCGGAGACATAAACCCATAATCCTCCACCTTTTTTTCGCTGGCTCTTGGTTAAATTCATAAGATAGCAAACTAAAGTTAGAACTTAATCATACCAACTCATACTGTTGTCATACCAACAGAACTTTTTGCATCATGCAAAGTTTCCGTAAAAGCATCGAACGTATAATTTCAAATGCTTAAAAATTCATTCAACTTTTCAATATTTTGCTGCATTTTAATGTTTACGTGTAATGCAGAAAATGAATCTTTGAATAAAATATGATGTATTAATTAGGTTGAAACTAAATTCCAGTGAACAAATCCAGGTTCCGCGTTTTTTATAAAATCCTGACCCGAATATAATAAGTGCTTGAATATCGAATTCGTTTTTAATAGTGATAAGTTATAACAAATTTTGCTATGATATATTAAAATAATTATTTAACATAATAATCTTATTAAATTATTTATCTATCGCAAATTATTATAAGAAAATGAGTATAAACGGTTTAAGCATATTTAAATAATTCGGGTCTTGATTTTGCAAAAAAAGTGAAACCTGGATTTGCTCACTGGAACTTAGTTTCAACCTGTTAATTAAGTTGATTTAGGTTTCTTTAAAATTATTTAAATTTTCGTTATATAAGTTATTAACAATGTCCTTCCAAAAAAGATTAAAGGTCAAATTTTCAAAATCTTTATTAAATAAAGTATTCATTCACATTTTTGAAAATAAATAAATAAGATTATAAAAAGAATTTCAATTTATTTTACTTTGTAAACAAATTAATATGTATTGATAATCGTTGTATGCTAATAAATTTATAACTCTAAAGATATAGAAAAAAATTTGAATCAAACTGATTAACGCTTTAAATTTTAAGTGCTGTTGGAATTCCTTATTTTTAAATTCATGTACAACGAGTTTGTTTGTATTGTGGTTTATCCTTATTGCCATATAGAGGCCACATACTAAAAAAGAGCCTCATAACCCGCTTTGCAGAACTCTTGTTACATATAAAGTTTTACATAAATTACGTAACATGAATTATGTAAAGTACAACGAGTATTACAACGAGTGTTCAACGAGTTTGTTGTATACCAATTTTGCTTAGCATCCGCTTTGCTTATGAACCTTTGCTTTAGTAAAGTGTTTTACTTGTCGTTTCGCTGTTAATATAAATATTGTTACCTCTAAGTCAAAAAATAATTTTCCAAGATTATTTTTGTCGTCCTCAAAGTCATGTAGTATGAGTACAATTGTTCTTATTATTTCCAAACCCAATCTCTAAGCGCGCGTTTAATGTCCTATTCTTCCCCAAGATTTTTATCAAAAAATGTTCAACTTTTTATTTTGTAAATTTCCACTCTTTTTCGTCACTTGTTTCGTTAAGATCGTCAATTCGTAAATTACTGCTTCGATTCCAGTCCTTATGTCAACACCTTTTGAATTTAACTCATTATTATATGACGGAATTTTTGTTGCATTTTTTTCAATTATAAATAATTCACGACTTACTTGTTTTACTTTTTTATTTTGCGTCTTGATTTTTTTAACACACAGGTCACCAACAAATTTTTTTATTTCTTGAAGTTCAATACTTAAGCCTAAACTAATTTATTATTTAAATGTATAGTCAATAAGATAAATTTGTTGATTTACAATTTCTTAAATTTTATCTACGCAAGAAAAGCCAGTTCACTTCACTTTAGAGGTTTGAGGACGAATCTATAATCATATATATATATATATATATATATATATATATATATATATATATATATATATATATATATATATATATATATATATATATATATATATATATATATATATATATATATATATTTATTTATATATATATATGTAACATTGAATAGAATTGGGAATTCAGTAGGTGTTGATCTAAAATTTAAAAGTTGCAGAATCAAAAGTTGCAGATATTGACTTAGTAGGTGCTGCAGTCAATACCGACATTGTAAAAAAAAAACCCTGGTGTGTATGAGTGATGAGTGAAAAAGCATCCTTTAGGGTATTCCTACATAAATTATCTTTTAGTTCTTATTTAATTAAAACCAATGAATTAAATTCACAGAAAAAAAAAAAAAAAAAACGACTGTTGCATTAACAGCACCAACTGCAGTATCACAAAAGACAACTAAAAACAGGTAATTTGTAAATTATTGTTAATTTGTTTTTTTAATTTTGTTGGAAATATACCTAATTTAATTTTTCATTTTTTTGCATTTAGTTTTAAAATAACTACTCTTGCTTGTCCAATAAACGGAAAAGAGTGTCTAAAGAAATTTGAGGGTTGCAAATATTTATATTATTTTTTGAGGGTTGCAAATATTTACACTATTTTTTCATCATTTACTAAAATTAATAGACTACAAAGAGATTAGTATATAAATAATAGTGAAGCAGACCATGATCCATTTTACGGGTCACTTACAGCTAGTTCTCACTGCGTAAGTACTTTACGGATGCTCCTTCTGGATATTCAAAAAATTTATATCTTTTTTCCTTGGAGTCTAGATTCCCTAAAAATCCATCCGAATTTCCCGAAAATCTATAGAATTTATTTCTGATTACGATTAATAATGTCGTTTCTCAATTAAATGCATATTACAATTTTTTAGTTTCTCAATATCTTAATTTTAATATTAGAAATTTTCAGCTGATTGTAATTTGTTTTGTCAATTTTCACGAAAATTATCAATTGATATCAAAATGTACAATCGTTCACTTACAAGCATTCCGCTCAAACGTTGACATACTAACGCTCGATAGATACAACTTCTGTACATTTGCACAAATAGATTCGCAGGTTTACATTATTGGCAATTATAATATTTTTTTAATGTTGTAACTTAAAAAAGCAGTTTATAAACTAGGCAACTATCACGAACAACAATTAGTAACGTTTACATGACTTTTTACATGACTCGCAAATCATATATTAACTAATAAGCAAGTATTAAATACAAATAGGGGAGACCGGGGCTAGTTGGCTCGGTTTTTACTCTATGAGCTCTGTAGCCCTAATAGCACACTTTTTTGAAAATATTAAAGTGTAGTCTCAAAGCGTATGAACTTGGGTAACTTATAAAAGTTTCATGGATTTACAAAAAAAAATTCTTGGGGCCTTACGGGGCCCTCAAAAAAAAAAAAAAAATTGCGCCAACTTACCCCACCACGGGGTAAGTTGACGCAAACTATAAACGTGATTATTAATGTACTATTAAGTGCAAAATTAATAGAAATTTTTTACCTATTAATTTTGGCAACAATTTAAGCTAATAATTTGATATTATTTTTAGCTTGTGCTAAATATTAGTACGTATAACAGCCAAAACAGCAGCCCTCTTTTTACCTGTTACAAAAAACCTAAAAAAAAAATTTTTATAATTTTTTTGTAAGAATAAGTTTTTTCAATATTGTTAAAAATTAAAAAAATTAAAAAAATTATTTTTATAAAAATAAATATTTTTCTCCATAGTAAATGCTATGAGCCAACTTACCCCGTAAAAATTTTGTCAACTTACCCCGAAGGCTTTTTTTTCAATAAACAGTCTATAGATCCTGAAAAACGGCAACTTTTAAAAAAAGTCAAACTGAATATAGTAAACCAATTGTGGCTAGAACTTTTACAATAATTTTTTTTCCATTTGACTAACTATTTTCTTTGTAAAGTAAAAAGGAAGCGATGTTTCAAAAGTTACGTTTTTGTCCAAAAAACACTTAAATCTTAATATCTCCCATGCGCATGCGCGAATCCTGACAATACTACATTGAATGATGAAACAGTCAATTAGGAAGATTCTGTGTAATTTTTATCACTTTCTGATGAAAGGCTTTAAAGATAAACGCAATTCGTCAACTTACCCCTGCGGCCAACTAGCCCCGGTCTCCCCTACTATATTTAAAATGATAGAAATAAACAAATAGTAAATAAATTTAATAATAATAAAAAAAATATTAAATACAAAG